GCCTCCCCGCCTCCGGCGGCGCGGCGGCCTGCCGCAACAACATTGACCACCCGAGAGCCAAGCCGCTCAAAGACTTCCGCACGCTTCAAACGCATTACAAGCGGAAGCACGGCATCAAGCCTTTCATGTGCCGCAAGTGCGGCAAAGCGTTCGCCGTTCGTGGGGATTGGAGGACACACGAGAAGAACTGCGGGAAGCTCTGGTATTGCACTTGTGGGTCCGATTTTAAGCACAAGAGATCCCTTAAGGACCATATCAAGGCGTTCGGGCATGGCCATGCAGCTTATGGGATCGATTGTTTTGAGGAGGATGATGATCCGGCTTCTGAGATTGAGCAGGATTTGAGGGGGAGAAGATAGATTGGGTGAGGAATGGTGGGGCTATGGCTACATGTTGAATTGTTTATGTTTTAGAGTGGATATGGAGAGAAGAATGGGGAAATATTTATTAGCTTGTTTAGGCATGTAAAGGAAAAGAATTTGTTTTTGGTTCATTTTTCATGGCTTCTTTCTTTTTCTTTTCTTTGTTGTTGGTTGGTTGTTGGTGTTTTAGTTTACTTTCTATCACTATATAAATCTTTTTCTGCGCTGAAAAGCTTTTTTGGAGTTCTGGTTGAGTGAAAAACAAACAAAAAGAAAGGTTTAATTGTCTTCTTAGAATTTCTCAGGAATTAGTAAGTTTGATTGTTTGAATCTGTCTTTTGTATTTAAACATGGATTAGTTTTTGAATGTTTTGGGGACAAATGTCTTATGAGTAATGCTTCAAGTGAACAAATGTTGGATTTTCAAACATAATATGTATATAATATATATAAGGTTTGTGATATATATATATATAATATATATAAGGTTTGTGAGACTAATTAATATGATGGATGGAGATTAATTATTTATCAAGGCAAGCTATCATTTGAGGGGAATTAGCATTATGATTAAGGCTTGGGAGATTATTGATTGATGAAGATGTGAAAAAATGGGCATTTGAAGATTGAAAAGAGCTTTGCGAAAGGAAGTGAAAATGTCACTTCCTACAACAACTACATTGAGCATTCTTTGTGGTGCTTGTGATTATATTTCAAATGGAAGAAATTTGTTGCAAATTAATGATGCTTCCAACAAGCAAAAACACTGTTATATTCATCATTGTCTTTGTTTTTTTTTTTCATTTACATCTGCAAAATCTCAATTCCTCTGGTCAACATCAATATTACTCATCTTTTTTGTCCTCTTGCAAATACTTTCTTTTTTCACCAGCATCACATAATATATGTTGAACTTCAGCATAATAATAGGCTGTTGTGGGTTCTCAATCAATTTGCATGGCAAAAACAAGGATTTATGAATGTAATTCAATCATAATTAATTTTTATTAAATTCATAGTTCGCCATCAACGGTCTATTTTATCATAAATAGTAATTGCATGCTTCTGGTTTCAGCGGGAAAATAGTGTTGTTAGCAGTGGAGGTGAGCAGTTAATATATAGTTATGCTTTTATATCAAAATTCAATAAATTTGTCAGACAGTAGGAGGGTGGTCAAACCCATTAGGGAAGTTACACTGCCATTATCTTGAGAATTTACTTCATAGAGTATCAGTGTAGCCCATCCATTAGTCACTTCAATCTCTTACCTTCCTAGTTGATTTCCTACTCAACATCAAAGTTGGCGCCTAATTAGCAGAATAAGAACAAGATAAAATGTTTTTAAGGGTAACATAAATTGAAAAAAAGATTTTAATGATTTTTTTTCCCCTCAGAATGGCTAGGTTCCTTGCAATTAAAGTACTTCAGAACTTTTTAATTAAATTTCCTTATTTATTCCATATATATATATATATATATATATATATATATATATATATTAAAAAAAAATATTATATACTTTTAAATACTTTCCTTCAAGCATCCTTCTATGGCAGCCAATATAAATTCTTTTGTGAATATTAAGCTCTCTGGTTCGCTTTCCTAATATTCTGTTACATCTTTTACCCACCATGTTTTGCATGTTGCAGCTTCCTTGCATGGAAGAGCCCTCCTGCTTCTCTCTCTAAGCTGATCACCCTCCTGCTTCTCTCTCTAGTCCATAAGTTGTGATAGTTTTAGTTCAGTTGGATGTTTCTAAGAAACTCCTTGGAGAAATCTTTTTTTGGATCAGAACAAAATCAGATTGCTTAGAGTGTCGTTTTGGAAAATCTTATTTTATTTTCTGCATACTTCCTACCAGGATTTCTAGCAATCCTACTAATGCTCCTTTTGCTGATATTCCTAGCTCATCTAAAGAACCTCTTCTTAAAGATCAAATTGGTGCATCTTCTGATCTGCCTAATCTCTCTATTTCTTATGTCTAATGGGAATCTGGTAATGCTGTTTTGTCTTCTTCTATATGGCTAATGGGGCTGTTATAGTAAATGGGGCCAATACTTTTCCTACTAAAAAATATTTCTATTTCTAACCTTTTGTGTTTAGATAGTTCTCCTTTTTGTGGCACAACAAAAAATGCCTCTGAAATTAATATTTCTGGTAATAGTTTAAATTTCAATAAGAATGTGCTGATTTTGGATAAGGGGAAGTTGAGCCTTCTATTTCCTTTGTCATTCCTATTAATGTTGTTGAAAGTCAAAAAATAATTCTCTTGTGGACTCTTTTATTTGGGATGAGGAGGAGGGTTAGAGCATAACAACAAGGAAAAATCTAAAGGTGGCAAACAACATCTTGAATGAACTCCTAGGATTGATAAATCTCATAAAGCCTCCAACCCTACCAGTGCTTAATGGTTTGTTTCATATTTTGGAACGTGAGAGGGATCGAATCCACTAATATTAGGAATAGGGCTGAAAACTTATGTAGGATAAATAATACCTCATTACTTATTTTTGTTGAAAATATGGTTAATAAATCTAAAATTACTAGTATTTCTAGAAGATATGGTTTTCAACATGCTTTTTCTAACTCTAACAAAATTTGGATAAGTTGGAAACAATGGCTTGATGATTTTTTATCAACTTCTCTACATCAAAATTAGTTTGTCTAATTCTTTTATTAACTACTTTTGTATTTATTCTCGTTGTTTTAAATCTATGAGTAGTATTCCTTAGAATCAACTTAGTAGTATTGCTCCTAGTATTGATGGCCCTTAGTATGTGGGTTTTGATTTCAATAACATTTCTAATTCTAATTAATGCCTTTGTGGTGCTTGATACGGCTAAAATATGTTCAATTTTTCATATACTTTTAATGTCTATATTTGGTGATTCTCAATGATATTGCACTTTAAGAGAATGTATTTTGTATATTTTTGGTTTCACGTACAGGAAATGGAGTTTTGGAGAAAAAGAAGCAAAAAAGGTGCAATTTGGAGCAAAAGTGAGCAAGAAAGAAAATTATGTCCTAACACATTTCTATATGTCTTTCTATGTTTAATCACCTTTACACTTCTCACAAATTTTTGAACAAAATAACACTCTAAAGGAAGTTTTTTTATGCTTATTTTGTAGGTCCAACTGTTAGGAATGTAACGCAACTGAAACGGGGCGAAACGGAGCTAAAACAGAGTCAAACGAAGCAAAATGGTAGAGCTACGCAGAGTGGGCGCCGACAATGCCAGAGTGCAAAAAGCGACCTGAAAATGGTACCGACGGCACGTAAAATGGTGCCAACAGCGCCCGAGACAGTTTGGACGCGATGCTGGGCAAATTTCTAAAAGATTCAATGTATTTGGACGCTTTTTGGAAGGTTGCTTGAGGCATATCTTGGGAAATTCGTCCCTACACTATAATAAAGTGCTTTTATGTCAGAAAAAAATGGTTTGTGTAAGTGGAGAAACATGGAGAATGTTTAGAGATCTTAGAATAGGAGTAAAAATGTAGATTTCTATCTTTTTGGAGAGATTGGTGAGGGGATTTTGAGAGAATCTGTAAGGAAAAGTTCTAGCATTGCATGGATCAGCGAGAGACTTTGTAGGAGAGATTTTCATCTTTCTTTCAAGAAAAAAAAACTAAGTATTGTGTTCTTCATTATTTTATAATTTTGTAAACACTTATCTAGTGGATTTGCTTTGATTGAATGAAGATTTCCGTTGTGTTTTCTTCGTGCTTTGTGATGTGTTTTTCTTACTCTTTCTTCCTATTAGGAAATAGTGACATGAGATAATTATGCCATTCTTTTCCTTTTACTTTTCTTTTACAATGAGTAGGATTCATGTTTAGGATTTTGGGATGCATGCTAGAAGAAGTTTAATCATAAAAGTGATGGTTTTTACTTGCACTTCATTTACATTACAATAAAGGTCTATTGTAGTATTAAAATTCGTTGTAATTACATTAAAACCCAATAGGGCAGTGTAATTCTCAACAAAGTGCAACCACATTCAAATTTTATGGATGGTGAAGTTCATGGGGGTTGTATGCAAATAAATAGAGAAATATACTTTGATGGACGTAGAATTATAGATTTTAGGGAGACAGACTAAAATCCCAAATTTAGTCCTAGTGTTTGGAAACTAAAGCGAGAGTTAGCCTTCAGGAGAAGGGAAGTGGGAGCTCTGAAGTGAGAGTCAGTATTCTCACAGGCTAACCACGAATTTAGGGACTAAATCTAGGATTAGCCAATATTCTTTATAACACTCGGAAGAGGGTAAAGAATAAGATTGCTCCTATTTGTCACATACAATATTTAATGCATCTCATTCCTTTACATTATCCAATTCACTACATAAGAATAATAGTTTTTAACATCTTTAAATTCTCTAAACCAATTCATCCAAAAAGGGGTTATCTTTAAAATTAACATTTGCATTAACGAATAGTTATTATCATTACATTTAACATTTGCATTTAGGAGTAGTTGCTAGATAAAACACCATTTTAATCGACATTCCAATCTAAGGCCTGATAGTAGTATACTAGAACTTTGACTAAGGACCTCTTACATTGCTTCCCTGAGGGATCGATAAACGGAACTCCATTAGAGCCCTGTATTACTTGAGCGATACATATACATGCGTTTATATCATTGTGACTATCTAGAATATATAAAATTAATCAAAAAAAAGTCTGCATCAAGTTTTTGGCACCGTTGCTGGAGATTAAAATCTTGAAGTAGTGGTGTCAACTTCATGAAGCATAGCATATAAAAAAGTTCCTAAATTTAATGTTATGAATAGTTTAATATTGCTAGTTTTTTATTATAACTTGAATGATCTTGATTTTTCAGACTTGACTTTTCCTTGGATTAACAATCACTTATGATAAAAACTTCACAAATTTCTTTTTATTGGTTATTAGTCATCCAAATTTTCTAATACTTATCCTAAACACTTAAGAAAAACTTGTTCATACCATTCTCCTACTCTTATAACTACTAGAGATAATCCTTAATATTTTTGTTTTAAAATTTGGTTCCAAAACATTTGGCTTCTAGATTCTTCTTTCCTTGAGATTCTTGATTCAGATTGGTGTGCTTCGTTGCCTCTAGTAGCAATATTTAAGATATGATCAGACTTTGGTTTAAATAAAAAAGAGTAACCTAAGTTTTAAGTTGGTGAAATGAAATTTATTTTAAAATTGTTTTCACTAACTTTTT